AGAGTTTCAGAGAGAGGGAGAGACAGAGAGAGAGGTCTTTCATTCACTGGTGCATTCCTCAAATGGCTTCAACAGCTGGAGCTGGGCCAATCTGAAGCCAGGAGCCAGGAGCTTCTTCTAGGTCTTCCACATGGGTGTAAGGGCCTATGTACTTGGGCATATATGCACTTGGGCATATTTCACTGCTTTCCCAGGCCATTAGCAGGGAGCTGGGTCAGAAGAGGAACAGCCAAGACTCAAACCGGTGCCCGTATGGGATGCTGATGCTGCAGGCGTAGGCTTAACCTACTACGCCACAGCACCAGCCCCATAATCCCACTTATTGAGGTCAGCTGGCTCAGAGGAATATAAGTCTATGCAGAGCTAGTCTCTTCTATGTCTATTCCATGTAAGGTAACTGTTTTCCCACATTCTATAGGCTGTATAGTTAGCCCTTTTCAAGATTCCCATCAGGTGCTAACAATTAGCTTATGAAGCACACATGTATCATCCTCTCGTGAAGATCAAATTATTAGGGTGGATTATAAGATATAAACTCAAGCAGCTATATCCATATTAATCACCTTTGTAAACACAATCTGAATATTTTATGTTAATTATTCCTTCAACTAAAAATGCAGTTTCCCATATTTAAAAAACTCAATTGAGTATTCTACAAATATCTTTCTTATGAAAATTTAAATATGTATTATATCCATGGTTGGAATGTGAAAAAGGCAGCCAGCTGATTTAGCTTTTGGATGAATCCTATATCTTAAATCATACCCACCTTGAATTTCCTATATGTTAATACTTCAAATTAAAAATCATGCAAGATTTTTTAAAATGTCATGCAAAGTTATCCTTTTTTCATCACATCAAGATTTCAGTATACCATAACATGATGGAAATTAAAGACTGCATATTTTAAAACATGTATTTTTATAAAAATGTGAAATGAAAACTTTTAAAATATATTTCTCTAGGAAGAAAAGAAACCTTTAAAGGATCAGAAAAAGAATGGCCGGTGTTTCCTAAAGAAACTACTACAAAAGATAAAAACTTGTTGGAATAAAATTTTGAGGGGCATTAAAGAAAACTGAAAAGCATGGAGTGGCAATATAGAAACATATAAACTGTAGTTGCATCCTCCAAGAATCTATCTACTTATGCAATTTTGGGGAGGGCAATGTGCCTCCTAGAAGTTACTGAATGCATTGCATCCTGGCAAAAAATGGATTACAGCAATTGAGAAATTCATATAACATGACTAGAAGATGGACATAGCAATAAAAACTGAATGAACGTTTTAGTCAAAGTATTTCATATGCATGCTGACATATTTCAATCATATTATTTCTGTGCTGATTTTATAAGACAATCTATATAAGGTATCAGTTGCAATAATACTTTTTTAAGCTGTTAAATTTTTCAGGAGAAGACATCAAAATTATGAAGTGTATAAAAGTTATAAGGATTCAAAATTAACATTGTTTTATTCTCAAAGTAACTTTATGCTGTGCATCAGTGTATTAAGAGTGGATACAGTCATCTTCGTGCTGGAGGTGTTCCAGGGTAAACAGTGATACATGGATAGTGTTCATGAGAATAAGACAGCCATATACCTTTAAGAAGCAGCAGCATCAAGAAGTCCAAGACACTTCAGAGACATAACAAGAGATGTAATCAAACATGGATGTACAAGTATTTTCAATACCAGATATTTTAAAATGAAAATAAAGGATGACTTCAAACAAAAATAGAAATTCACCTCATCCAAGGATACTAAACGTTAGTATTGAGTTACTTTTGGCATTTCTGTATAATAAAATTTGTCTAAATGAGTTTTGTCTAATGAGTTTGGAAAGTACGTTTTTAAGAGAATAATATATGCTGACTTTTAACTAATGGAATGTGTATATTTAATTTTGACAATATCTGTATATAAAATATTTTCATACCATCATTACAAATACTTTTGATAACATTTCTCTATTGATAATAAATGAGCTATGTATTAATACTGTCATATTCACTGAATGAAGCATTATAGGATTTTTTTTTTAGTTTTTTATAGGTTCAATACAGTTCATAGATACAGTCCTGAGAATACAGTGACATTCTCCCTCCCTAAACAGCATTTGTAATATTGTAGCAATCTGTTCTCCCACATTCAGTGCATACATGACCTTTAATACCTTATAATGGAGAATCAGCATGGAATCATGATTTCAAAAATACACAAGACTAGGAACACTATTTTCTATGTTACATTCTAGTTTTTTATTAGAAATTTTACATGTGCCAGACCTTGTTTAGAAAAGCCTAGTATCTTTGTTCACATACAAAAAGAAACAAACAAACAAAAAACTATTTTAGCAGGCCAAAGTCCTAAAACAGTTGCCAGTTTGCATTTTTTTTTTTTTTTTTTGACAGGCAGAGTGGATAGTGAGAGAGAGAGACAGAGAGAAAGGTCTTCCTTTTGCCGTTGGTTCACCCTCCAATGGCTGCCACGGCTGGCGCACTGCGGCCGGCACACCGCGCTGATCTGATGGCAGGAGCCAGGTACTTCTCCTGGTCTCCCATGGGGTGCAGGGCCGAAGCACTTGGGCCATCCTCCACTGCACTCCCGGGCCACAGCAGAGAGCTGGCCTGGAAGAGGGGCAACCGGGACAGAATCCGGTGCCCCGACTGGGACTAGAACCCGGTGTGCCGGCGCCGCTAGGTGGAGGATTAGCCTAGTGAGCCGCGGCGCCGGCCGCCAGTTTGCATTTTTGCGAACTTGCCTCCTTCATGATCTTCCACAGCCTCATTACCATCTAGTTAATGTGCTGCATCTAGTTATGTATTACAGCGACATCCTCAATGTGGGCTGTTAACACCTTCCTGGTCCTTCTCACTTTTCCCAACCCATATGGAGTTTCATCCTTATGGTTAACAGTCATGTAGAATTGTATAGACCCTCCTATAACACTCACTGAACTGCCTCATTCATGGAGCTTTGAGTCAAGTATTTTTTTCCTTTTGGTTAATCACTGTTTATTCCAAAAAGGGAGTTGACTAACACTTTTTTTTTTTTTTAATTTGAAAGCTAGAGAGACAGAGAGAAAAATTAATTAGACCAATAGAGAGATCTCCCATGTCCTGGTTCAGTCCCCGAATACTCATAATATCTAGGGCTAGACCAGGCTGAAGCAAGGAACCCAGAATTCAATTCACATCTTCCAGGTGGGTGCCAGGGACCCAATTACTTGAGCCACCACCTAGTGATTCTCAGGGTACCCATTAGCAGAAAGTTGAACTCCAGAGTTCACTGGGACTCAGACCCAAGCACTCTGATATCACCTGTGGGGTTTCCAACTGGCAGCCTAACCACTGTGTCAAACACCCGCCCATGCCTAAGTGGTTTATTTATTTATTTATTTGCTTGCACTTCATAAATATAACATTAGGAACACTGTAATTTTTCCCACCATACTTGCTCTCCCACCCACTCTTCCCCTTTTTCCTCTTCCCTCTTTTTTTCTTTTTTAAAAAATTTATCTAAAAGGCAAAGTTACAGGGAGGCTGAGGCATAGAGAGGGAGAGAGGTCTTTCATTGACTGGTTCACTCTCCAGATGGCTGCAGCGGCCTGAGCTGCACTGATCCAAAGCCAGAATCCAGGAGCTGCTTCTGGGTCTCCCAGGTGGGTGCAGGGGCCAAAGGACTTGGGCCAACTTTATACTGCTTTCCCAGGTTGTAACAGAGAGCTGGATCAGAAATGGAGCAGCCAGGACTCGCTTGAACCAGTGCCCGTTTGGGATGCAAGCACTGAAGGCAGTGGTTTCACCCACTAAGCCACAGCACCAGCACTCTTGCCTCGCCCCCACTCTTGTTTTTTACCATGATCTATTTTCTCTTAATTTTATATATAGAGGATTAACTCTACAGAGAAAAAAAAAAAAAAACAAAAACAAAAACAAAGCTGTTCCTCAACAGTCCAAAGGCTGTTCAAAGTTATTGCATCTTGAAGCTAATTTCACTTTTTTTCTTCCTTCCTTCTCCCCTCTTTTGTTTTAGAAGCTTAATTATTTTTAAAGAAGAACCCAAGAATGATATATCTTTTATGAGCTCTTAAGCATAACTATAACTTATGAAACTTAAGAATATCCTCCACTTAATACACTAAAAGGAAATAATTCTTTGGGAAAACTTTTTACTACTAAGTCTCATAATACAACGTTTTGGGGACAGTGGGCCTGCATGGGAAGTTAATGCACAGTGACTCTTGTTATTAACAATTAACACTCTAATGTATGACATCAGTGATTACCCGAGGTTCTTGACATGATCTGCCTAGGCTATGGAAGCCTTTTGGATCCACAACTTGGCAAAGCCATCAGCAAAGTAGAAGTTCTCTCATCCTTTCAGAGAAAAGTACATCTTTGGTGGCCTATTCTTTCCATTGGGGTCTCACCCACAGAGATCATTTATGTAGAACATTTTTTTGCCATAGTGTCCTAGCTTTCCATGCCTGAAATGCTCCCCTGGGCTTTTCAGCCAGACCAGAATGTCTAAGGTGCTGATTCTGGGGTCAGAGTGCTACTTAATCTTAACCTGGACATTCTAAGAGTCTGCTGTGTACTGCTTCCCACATTGGAGCATTCTCTCCTTTTTAATTCTGTTTATAGGCCGGCACCGCGGCTCACTAGGCTAATCCTCCGCCTTGCGGCGCCGGCACACCGGGTTCTAGTCCCGGTTAGGGCACCGGATTCTGTCCCGGTTGCCCCTCTTCCAGGCCAGCTCTCTGCTGTGGCCAGGGAGTGCAGTGGAGGATGGCCCAAGTGCTTGGGCCCTGCACTCCATGGGAGACCAGGAGAAGTACCTGGCTCCTGCCATTGGATCGGCGTGGTGCGCTGGTTGCAGCGCGCCTGCCGCGGCGGCCATTGGAGGGTGAACCAACGGCAAAGGAAGACCTTTCTCTCTGTCTCTCTCTCTCACTGTCCACTCCTGCCTGTCAAAAAAAATAAAATAAAAAAAAAATTCTGTTTATTATTATTACCAAACACTTACTCCTACATGATCACTTTAACACTTGATCCTATCCATATGATCATTTTAACACTTAAAATGCTATTTTTACCTCCCAGCTTAAGGGGATTTGGGGTCCCACTGAAAGTTTTTAATGTGTACCCTTAAAAATAAGCCCATAAGAATGTATGCAGAACTATACTGCTTTACAGTTACAGACTTCATACATTTCACAATTACAACTTTAGGACCATGATAATTCTTCCCACCATGCCCACCCTCCCATTCATACTTCTACCCCCACTTCCTTTTCCCCTTCTTATTCTCGCTCTTATTTTTTACTAAGGTCTATTTTCAATTAGCCTAATCAAGTTTTCTTTCTTCAGATGGACTTTTCTAAGTAGGCTATGTTTCATTTCACAACAAATTATGGTTAACAATGTGGTATTAGTCTCCCCTGGTGAACTGGTATTGATGATAAATGATTAGTTAGTGAAATGAAGAAATTTACATTTCTAAAGGTGAACTCTTCAAACTTCCTCAAAACTGCTTCCTTGAAGCCTGCTTATAACAGTTCCTAACAGTGTTAAATTGTTCCCCCTAAGATTGTGGCAAAATAGGGATCACACTTGTAAATATTTCTTAAAAGAGTTATTTAAATTCTCTACCATTTTTAAAAAAATTATGTTAGATTTGAAATTTAGAGAAAATTCACACTCATGGGTGATTATTCAATATACATTGTGTGCCAAAAATGCTTGGGAAAAGTTACCCACAGAGTTGTTATTGTGTTTCTTGTATCTTTGTTTTCTAGCCACTACAAAGCAAGGTAGGTGTGAGGTGAGTTGGTTAATATGGATACAACCTCTGCGCATGTAGAAATTTTTGAAATCTCACATTTTAAATTCTTACTTTATGTTCTGCATAGCACCATCAGCCAAGATTTTGTAAAAATTACTTTCTGAGGTTTATATTATGAAAACAATAGATGTGCTGAATTTTCATTTTTAAACGACTCATTACTCCATCATCAGAACATCTGGATACATATTTCTCAGGGATCTCTTTACTGACATACTGATTCAGAATGTTGGCACTAGATTAATAGTAACAGTTACTGATAGTTCTCTGTATTTCTGCATTTTTATGCCAACCACATTTCAAATTTGTCAATTTGAAGCCTATCACAAACATAAACAAATACTATGCCCATCATTCCCTGCCATGTCTACATCTGAAAGGGTTCTGCATTACCCGTGACTTCTGTGAAGTGGTCCTATTCTTTATCAAATGAATTCATGACTCTAACCCAATTAATGGGAAGAGACAACAGGGCAATTGCACTAAGTGAAACCCATTAACAAGCTGGCTAGTGATCTGTGATGTGCATGTCATAGCTTGAAAAGATGTGCTGATAAAGTGCTGTGTGCTAGGAATCTGAGCCACAATTCCTCATAAATTTGCCAAAATGACTCTGAAATACAAAGGAAGTTGTTTAGTTTAATTAAGTTGAGCAATGGTAAGCTAAAGGAGTGAGGAAACAAAAGAAGCTATATAGTGAGTGAAGGGATTGATGAGCTAGAAATCATAGAGGTTGACAGATGGACCAATCCTTTGAGCTTCCTCAGGAACTAACCACTTTCCAGTTCTAAATCACATGTGTCTCATACAAAAACCCTATTTCTCAAGGTAACTTAGAGAGATCTCTATGCCTTACACATGAAAATGCTATTGAATTTATTTTACATGGTTGAATGAGAAATGAGGAATGAAAAGCAAATGTGTTATGAACATTAGGTACTATTTTAAGAGAGTAAAATTAATGTGTAAACTTTGCCTCTGTAATCAAGACAAAGTAGTTGAGTCAAAAGCAAAAAGGGCTTTATTTCAAATAAATGGGCCCACAGATTGGAGATTAGTGGCCAGGCGAGCAGTCTTCTGAAATGAGAAAACTGCTCCTTTTGTGTTAAACTCAGGTGAAGGAGAAAAGTCTGTTTGCTTAAACTCTACATCATGTTGGCATGGTATAATACTTCTCTGAAAGCTGAACGCTAAAAAATACTTAATTTGGTGAGTGAGTTTATATGGCTTTCTCAGAGAGGAATGGGGTATAACTATTATCTCTTGCTTTTATCTCTAATTTAGGAGCCAAATAATAAACAAGCATTCAGTTTAGATGTGTAAATCAGACCATGTCATTCTCCTATTCAAATCGTAGTCTGAATAAGCCAAATAATCTAACAGAAAGCTCTAGAAGTTAGAGTATTCAATAAAAAATTAAGATCAATAAACCAAAAGGTGTGCTCATAGATCACTTTATCAATGAAATCATCTTCTCTGAACACTCATCTAATATTGTAAGCCACTTCCAACCTCTATCTTGTCTACCTTCTAGCCACCCTCCCACTTTCTCTACACAGCATTATCACAATTTAAGATAAAGTATATTTACTTACTTATTGTTCTTATTTTCAATCTTTTTCTACTGTAATATGAACTTCAAAATGGTAGGCAATGTTGACTGCTTTGTTCACTGTACCTAGAAGACTGTCTAGCAGGAATTAAATACGTCATTTCATCAACATATAATTATAACATAATTATAAAATATAAATAACAATAAGATCTATATTATTATATAATAATAACAGTTATATCACTTAGAATCTGTAAGTATAAGGCATTGTGGCCTTCCGCTGGTTCACTCCCCAAATGGCTGCCACGGCCAGCACTGCACCGATCTGAAGCCAGGAGCCAGGTGCTTCTTCCTGGTCTCCCATGCGGATGCAGGGGCCCAAGCACTTGGGCCATCCTCCACTGCCCTCCCGGGCCACAGCACAGAGCTAGACTGGAAGAAGAGCAAATGGGACTAGAACCCAGCGCCCATATGAGATACTGGCACCGCAGGAGGAGGATTAACCAAGTGAGCCACAACGCCGGCCCCTAGAATATCTTCTTGAGTGAAATTCAGGAAAAATAATTTCATTAAAATTTCACCTAGAGTTGACAGATCATTATCAGTAATAAATTCATTATAAAAACCATCTTAACTCATTGAGTGGGAAGTTTTCAATTTTGTGAATATTTATTACAAATATTACAATATTTATAAGTTAACATAAATGGTATACTTAATGCTCCATTTAAGTCTTTATAGGTGTCCTATAAATTGGACAATACATTTGTGAATGTCAGAAAATAATGAAGTAGCGAGTTTAAATAAAGTATTGTCAGGGCCAACAACATGGCATAGCAGGGTAAGCCACCACCTGCAGTGCCAGCATCCATATTGACACCAGTTCTGATCTAACTGGCTGCTCCACTTCTGATCCAGCTTCCCTGCTAATGTACCTGGGAAAACAGCAGAAGATGGTCCAAGTGCTTGAGCCCCTGCCACCCATGTGGGAAACCCATGAAGAAGCTTCTGGCCCCTGGTTTCAGCCTGGCCCATCCCTGGCTGTTGTGGCCATTTGGGGACTGAACCAGCGGATGGAAGATTTCTTCTCTGTCTCTCCTCTTTCAAATAAATAAATTAAATCTTTAAAAAATAAATATATATGGCTTCATGCAAATGATTTTTAAGAAAACCCTATTTACTTTTTAAAGATTATACAATAGCATTTAAAAATTGGCAGTATAAAAATATTTTTAAAACTTTACCAAATACCTTTCTAGTAAAAACAAGCATGATGTATTGAGGAATGTATTTCAAGTCTTTTATTTGTATAAATTTTTTATATAATTGGAATCATCCTTTATGCACATATGCTATTTTTAAACTGATTTTCTCTTAAAGTATATCTTTATATGTCAGTTATTTGAAAGTGCTTTAATACCTAATTTGTAAAATTTTCTTCAACTTTTATCACTATACTATAAGTCATGTCCAACATAAATATTTTTCTATACTTCAGAATACATCCCCACGAGGTGTATCTTAGATATACAATTACTAGGTCATGAGGTATAAATATTTAAAAGGTTTTAAAAGTAACCTCAGTCAACTTTTTCAAAAGCCATTATCAATTTGTATTATTAAAAACAGTAGATAAGGGATTCTTTTTTTTTTATTAATATCATTATTGAGAGGCAGGGAGATAGAGAGGACATGATAGCATTCCCATCCTTGGCTCACGCCCCCAGTGTCCACAAATGGAAACTTAATCCAAGTCTCCTGGGTGAGTGGCAAAGACCCAATTATGGCAACTATCACCACTGAGTTTGCACTAGCAGGAAACTGAACCACAACCCTCTGATACAGGATACAAGCACCTTAACTGTTGGGCCAAATAAAAGGCATTCATCTTAATGTCCCATGGCAGTTTTCAGTTTTATAATTTGAGATCACTGATTTGATGAATGAAAACCAGCATTTCACTGTTGAGTGTTCTCAAGTGCTCAGCCCTCCTGGCCATCTGCTTTCCTCAAGTGTATGACTCCAAACTCTACCTAAGCATAGAAACAGAGTGCTTGGGCTGAAAGGAGGCGGAAGACTAAGTTATATGCAATAAGACCAGTTTAACCTCTGTCCTCAAGCAGTAGAAACAGTTTATATTTTAGAAATCCAACGGGCCCCACCACATGCAGGCTTCCAAAGCCACTTACCTTTTCTCCACCAAAAAGTAATGCAGCTCTTGCTTATATTTTACAAGCTTTCATCCTAAGCAATGGACAGAAACAAAAAACAAAAACAATATATATAGTCAGCTGTATAACTTGTAGTGGGAAGAAGCTCTGTTTACCACTGCTGTAGAACTCTGTCAGCACCTGTATGATAAACAAGTTGTATTAAAGTGAATAAGGGAGTGGGTATTTGGCGCAGAGGTTAAAGGTTCTGCTTGAGATGACCACATCCCATTTGCCTAGGTTTGAGTCTTGGCTCCACTCCCAATTCTAGTTTCCTGACAATATGGACCCCTGTGATATCGGAATATGGGGGGCCATACGGTATCACTGTGTGCTTATTAATAAATTCCCAATATTAATAGGCCTGTGTGGGTTGCTGCCTAATATTCAGAGAAGAATTCTGAATACTGGCATAAATGAACAAGAAGGCATAGTAAGTGTTTAAGCTTTTTATTCAGCGAGAGAAATGCATAGGCGTGAGGGCCCTATCTAAAAGAGAGGGAAATCCGGATTCATACTGAGTACCAGGAGCCAGCCACATGGAGGAGCATGCAGGCCAGAAAGCATGGAGCAGGTGGCCAGAAGGCCATGTGCCCTGGAGGCACAGGGCAGCACGGGCCCACACTGGCAAAAGGCTAAAAAAAAGAAAGGGCTGTGCCCATTGTGTCCCAGGCCTTTAACGTACTACCAAAGGGGAGTGGTTAATTAACCTGATTGGCCGGTGGACACACAGGTGTGGTCAGGTAGGGGCATGAAGTCACACAGGGGCGTGGTGAAGGCACGGTCTTCCAGCTCACAAACCTGATCAGTTTTATCTTGTATGCCTCCCTGCATCACCAGAAGGTTGCAAGCAATGGCTCAAGTATTTGTTTCCCTGCCACCTCTGTGGAAGATATGGTCTAGGTTCGTGTATCCCAGCTTTAGCAAAGTGAAGCCCCAGCCATTTCAGGCCTAAGAGAAGTGAATCAAGAGGTGGGAGCTTTCTCTCTCAAATTCAAAAAATAAGATTATTTTTAAAAAAGGGAATCACTTATTTTTGCCCTTATTTGTAATCATTTGTTTATATCAAGCTACTCCAGATATATATCAACTTAAGAAAGATTTAATCTCATCAATTGATTCTCTTGATACACAGGATTTTATAGAAGAGTACAAAAGGCACTTTTTAAATGTTTCTAAGCATAAAGCTTCAGCTTAGTGTATCCTACATTAATTGGCATAGCCACTACTTTACTAAGTATTATCTAAATAGATGCCACCTTCATATACTAGATAATGTTAATTTAGGCTAGCTGACTAGGAAAAGAGATCCTTATGTTAAAAGAGATGGTAAATTACTAAACTGCACTACAACACAGATGTAAGACTAATGCCACTATTTCAAGTATTTGGTATATCAATAAGTGATATGGTTGACATACATAATTTTGCTAAGACAATATTGTAAAGTATAAATGCTAACTGTTTCTATCAATTACAACAATCATTTCTATCAACTACTCCCAATCACTGGGACAGAGAAGAAAAAAAATTGTCAAAAAATAAAAATATTGCTAAAGCCTTTAAGATAGAAATGTAGGCTAGCAATTACATTATCCACAAGCACCCTCTAGTGGCTGAAAAACAACTCACCACATTACCTTAAGCAAAAACGTATGCGTTTACATTGGCATCCTGAGTATTTACCTAATTATTCTAAATGAAAATAAAAAGTAATGTGGCGGCCAGCGCCTTGGCTCACTAGGCTAATCCTCAGCCTTGCGGCACACCAGGTTCTAGTCCTGGTCGGGCGCCAGATTCTGTCCCGGTTGCCCCTCTTCCAGGCCAGCTCTCTGCTGTGGCCAGGGAGTGCAGTGGAGGATGGCCCAAGTGCTTGGGCCCTGCACCCCATGGGAGACCAGGATAAGTACCTGGCTCCTGCCATCAGATCAGCACGGTGCACTGGCCGCGGCGGCCTTTGGAGGGTGAACCAACAGCAAAAGGAAGACCTTTCTCTCTGTCTCTCAATCACTGTCCACTCTGCCTGTCAAAAAAAAAAAAAAAAAAAGGAATGTGGCTACCAATAACTTTTTGAAAAATAATTGTTCTTATATTCAATAATATAGTCAGCTAGCAAAATAAATCAACCTATCTTAGGACTCAAAATACATTTACCATAAAAAATACATATACATGGAATCCAAAGAGTTTTGCTGATTTTTTTCTATGTACTGCTGGTATTGTTTCAATCCCTGAAACTTTCCTCATACTTTTACTACAGATAACAGTCTCTAAACTTTTTAATATGGTCTAAATCATTAAATATTTATCACAAATGGCTTTTGCCATTAAATTATAGTAATTAATTCTAAATATCTGCTCTCTACTGTGACATCCCTAATGCTCTGCATTGTTAAATTTTATTAGGTATGAAGATAATGTCTGCATACCTAAAAAATTTTTACAATGCTTTGAAGCCCTAAAAATAATGCAATAACTAGTAACAAAACTTCTAAAAATACAAGGGCCTTAAAAAGCCAATAAAACTACCTTCTTATTTTTAAAAATCTGTACTTTTTACTTCAAATATTTTATCTGTAATCGGTGTTCTTATCTTTCTATTTATATATTGCTAAAAATCAATGAATGCCAAATAGCACTTTTAAGCTTCATGTCTTTATTGAAGTGACTCAAAAATGAAGACATTATTTGTAATAAAAACACATAAGAGACAACATAGCCACAATTATCTTACTTTTTCAAGCTAATGACTTTTGAATAATAGATAAGCAATTTTTACATTTTTAATTTAAGCTTATGATTTTTTATTCTACTACACAGTATAATACTGGTGAAAATAAATAAAATGGTGCATAGAAAGATTTCTCAACAACCATTGCACAACAAATCAATGTGAGAATAAAATATGCAATATAAAATGCATTTAAATTGCCACAACATGTTTCATAAGTCATAAATATATTTCATCTACTAATTGTTTATAACAATCTCTGAGGTCTGAATTGGATGATTTCTTACCAATTCATTTCCATGTAGTACACTACAACATTTACTTGCTACTTCAAAATTCAGTGTAAAATTCAAACACGTGCCAATTTATATAATTTAAATTCCTTTATCTACCCCTGCCTTAAGCACACGAAAAATTATGTCTTAAAAAAAATACTTGAAAGAAAATAGTGTTCATTCCTAAGATAAAACAAGTGTTCAGTGTTCTTCATGTGATTTTTAACAATTAGGACAAAATAAAAGTGACTGAAACGGAAATCTAACATGTACACTAGTCTTTTAAACACATTACTGCTTATTCTAGCTGATGGATATCTTCTATTTTTTCTTTTATCAATATGACTGAATATGATAGCCAGGAAAATATTTTAAAATCAGGAAAAAGGCATAAGGTACATAAAATAACAACTCCTATGTCACTAAGTTTAAACTCCTGTCCAAAATTAAACAAAAAGCAGCTAACCAAAACCAAAAAAGTACATTTCAGAAAAATTATACACTACAATTTTCTACATTGAACCTTACAGTTGACCAGAACCATAAACGAGCTAGAAATTACATAAATATAGATGTGCTTATGCCTTTATAAGAGCAAAGCTCACTTATGTTTGAACTGAAATTACTACAAAATTATTGATTCCCTTCTAAATACGTTACATTGAAAGTGACAATGATTAAAAGCTCTCTTTTAGTCAAGCTGAAGAGAAAACAAATTTCTGTATATGTTTAGTTACATAACAGGTCAGTTATGCGTAAGACATTTTCCATGACTTTCATTGAGATGTGAATAATGATTCAACACTAAACACTAAAGAAAATGAGTAGGAAAACTTAAATATTATTTTGTCCTACTCATAACTACACTTAAGTATACATCAAGGAACTAATATTCAAATACTTTTGACCTGCATGCTCAGCACTAATGATTAATACTATGGTTATTACTTATTAGGTGAGGCGGTTTGTTTTAAAATGCATCAAAAATAACTTTGTCTAAATTCAGTTACACAGAAACAAAATCTTTTTAAACATGTAGGATATAACAAGGAGTCTGTAAAAATGAAGTAGTTAAATTAAAACTAGACAGGTTATGGAAAAGAAAGAAAAGAAAGTAAAATTTGGGAACATAATCAGAATGTAAGAAGACTAGATATATATGTTCAAATAATCCACACAGAAGTTAAAAAAGCTCATTCAGTTATAAGACATTTGTATTTTTATATTTGTGTTTCTGGAAAGGAAATGCATAATTACATTTTCACAGAATGAGTAAAGATCTTTATATAATTAATAAATACCAAGAGCAACATAAACATGGGTTTTTTTTTCTGTATTTTTTTAAGATTTATAAAATTAGTTATTAAAGATCTCAATAGGAAAATGACCTCACAAACCTAAACAGTTAACAAAAACCATTATCCTCAAATACAAAATACCAAGTTTCCCATCCTACTACAACACCATATGAAGACAAGTACCAATGATAAAAATGTTCATTCTGATTTTTTGTTCGAAGTTATAGTTACCTTAGATTTGAAGAGCTAAGCATACAGTCTGAGAATGTGTGTACATATGTACTTAACATGCTTTAACAACAAGAGAAATGTAATACCTAAGTTAATGACTCCATTTGAAATGATTTTCTGACAGATAAGTGAATATTTCCTTGAATGGCACAGTTCAGGGTATCAGGTATTTATTATATACAGTATATGTACACATTTATACAGATTATACAGCCTAAGGTTATGTATGTGCTAAAAATTACTTAAAAATGTATTTTAAATATTTTTAGCACAAAGTAACTAGAGAAGTGCTCTAGCTGTCTAAGCAGCAATAATCAGAGAATTCTGAACCTGGTTTTTTTTCTTTTGGAATGCTGTTCACAGAATCATTCTCCGAATGCCACATTCACAACAGAACTTTGCCCATTCTACAGGGTATTTAGTCCCACACTCATGGCAGAATTTTGGTAAATGTCCAGATGAATTTCCTTCAAGGCCTTTAATATTTCCACCATTAAGT